GGTAAATTCTTGAGGTTCTAGGGTCTTACATACAACACATACAAATAATACGTTTATTTAGTGATGAGACTGTTGCAATAAAACTATTTTGTGAAAGAAAAAACAATTCTTAAATTGTAGGATTTTACTGAAAAATATGCTTACCTTATATCTATTTATTTAAATTATGCCAAGCTGTACCAAAAATTGAATATTATCATAAATGTCATACTCTTGATGTAAACATGACTATTTATGCAGCCCTTTTTTTATTTATCAATAGAGTAGTATTATGTGGATATTTTAAAAACAGATAAAAGTTTGCTTCTTTTTCTTTCTATATATAAAAAAAATTTGGTAGAAAGTCATTGATGAATTAAAATTTAGTTATAGAGTGTCAGTTGCCCTTTTTTCCAAAAAAATTTGGTACAAAGTCATTTAAAAACAGATAAAAGTTTGCCCTTTTTTCCAAATTCCACCCGTCAGTTACAAAAAAAAAAAACAATTTCCTTGAGGTTTATAATTTATCTATTCATAGTTTGTTTGTTGACTCAAACGTCAAAACTTTAATGAATTAAAATTTAGTTATAGAGTGTCAGTTGCACTGACAAATCATTGGTGTGTGTCATACAAGCATTTTTAAATTCATTAAAGATAATATTCTATGTAATAATTTTTTAATAAGATAACTTATGTAATAAAGAAAATGAAAAAATAACTGTAAAAATATTATAAAAACAGAACAACTTGTCTGAAAATGTGCTAACCTTCGCCAGCTTGCATAAAATTCCAAAACCAATAAAAAAAGGGAAAAAGCAAAAATTATTCCACTGGATTGCTAATTTAAATTATATTTTCATTAGTTAGAACATTTTATGTTTTATATAATGTCACATTGTTTTGTAGAATTTCAATATTAAAAATGTAAAATGGGAAATGTTTGAAGGCATTTAATACAATATGTTTTTAATACTCCTTGTATTCCTTCCGTTTAACCTGAAATTAAATTAAATTACAATCAATGTCCTAAATTTGTGAATGGATTTATTTTTCAATTTTTTAAGTGTGTTCAGTTTAGATTAAGGAAATAAAGGGAATCAAAATAGAGAATAAATGAGGGAAAAAATTAACTTCTTCGGTAAAATAGAAGTGTGAGAGGAACAGAAAAAGTATATTTTGAAAGTTATGTGATTTAATTAATTTGATAAAAAAAGAAGAGTTAGTTCTATTATGTTTTCCCTTCTATTCTCCTTTCCTAAATAAAAGAATCCATATTGTCATTTCTCTCCCTCCATGCCTTCTATCCTCTGTAAAAGGTTTAAAAATTATTATATATTTCAAGTTTGCTATTGTTAGATTTCATAGTTACTTTTTTTTATGACAAATATTTATTACATTCTAAATACAAAAACTGTAACATTTTAATATTTTTTAAATTTTTATCTTTGAAATCCATTTTCAAATAGATTAAATGTTTACAAAATGAAATTAATTAAATATTATAATGATAAAAATTAAAATAAAAGATTATTATGATTATTTTGTAAGTTTTTGAGTGTGCTGCTGATGCATGTCGCGCTAAAGTAAAAGGTTTAGTGTAAAAGCAGGGAATAAAGACAAAAACCTCAATTTCTTATCCTTTGCTTTACACACTAATCCATTCCATCAAATGATTCAAACGCACTCAATCTATTTTCCAATTTCGATACCATTTTCCCAGTTACTTTCCTCACCTAACCCTGCTACTACTTTTCATACATATAAATAATCATAATTTTGTCCATTCTTCCAACTCCAGCCACAACCAGTGGCATAGCCCAGAGTTTTAACGTACTGTGCCTGCATTCAAACATACCCAGTTTCATTTTTTATTCTTAAATCCAATGTCTGAGGTAAACCCTCCTTTTTCTGTCTCATTTCAGTGAAACATCCTATTGGTGATGATCCAAGTTTCATTTTTTACCATTTCGTTTGCGTGTGTTTATGTTTTTGTAAGGATGTTTGAAGGTTGTGTCTCACAGCATTAAATGGTCGTTTTAGATGTGTCTTCTCCGTGTTTACTTTGGTCACATTGTTCATCCTCTGTAAATAGCAGATTTTTATTTACTTTTGCTTTTCTTGGTGGGGTTTATCACTGTGGGAGACATGCGTTATATATTGTCACGAGTTTCTTTTCAGGTTTGGAAGTATTGAGTGGAAGAATTTGATGTTGGGGTGATGGATCTGGCAAAAAGCAAAGGTAGTGGTGAAGTTTTGGATCATGTTGATGAAAGGGTGGGTGAGGATTTGAACCAATTGGTTGAAGGAAATGCAATTGATGCAGGAGGTGGACATAGGTTGGATGAAAGAGTTAGTGTAAGTGGGGAAGATGAGACTACAGACCAGATGTGTAATGGTCTTGGTTTGAATGTGGAGCTAAAGGAGGGGCTGCAAGAAGTTAATGATCAGAACCTGGTTGGACCTCAAGAAATTAATGATACATTACATGGGGTTGATCAAGGAACCAGTTATAGTTCAAGAAATTTGGTTAGTGGGGAAGTACCTGAGACTTGTGTTGTAATAGATCCTTCCGCACAGATTGATTGTGTCAGTGGAGAAAATAGGAAATTGGAAGCAAAACCTAATGATTCAGGCTTGAGCAAGGTGTCCAAGAAAGTGACAAAAGGGGTGTCTGACATAGATAAAAATTCATGTGTGATTGATATAAACCGTGGCAGCTGCGACGGTTTTAGTGAAAATCTGGAAGGTGAATTGATTTGTAGGATTTGCCATCTGGCCTCTGGGCAACCATTAGAAGCAGAAGCTGTTGGCACTGTAAGTAGTGCTACAACTACGAATACAGATTTGATTCAGCTTGGTTGTGCTTGTAAAGATGAATTAGGCATTGCTCACAGTCATTGTGCTGAGGCATGGTTCAAGATTAAAGGAAACAGGTAACTGCTGCTTTTGTTAGTACTTGGTAATTTCTATTGTGCATATCAACATCTTTTTTTTTTTTTTTTTTTTGTGTGTTAATGCCTGCAACATTGAACATGTTCTGTTGTGTTGCCCGTTTATTTTGAATTCAAAATGGCATAGGGATTCCTGAGGATTTCTACGTTTCTGATTACCTCGTGTCTGTAACCTACTTGGTACAATTTCTCAAAAAGAAACCAATTTGGGATGTGCATTGCTTTAATAATTTGTAATTTTATTTCTTTTTTGTTGATTTTTTCTGTCCCGTCTTGTCTTCTGAAATCTTTGAAACTCTGCGGCATACTTTTGCATATAGATTTAGTGTTACTATTACCATTATTATTGTAAATCTATTTTCTTATTATTAAAATTTAATTCGATAAATTTCTTAAATTTGAGTCTGAACTTTTGAAACCGGCTTCATTGCTTATCATTTGTCAGTTGGTTATTGCATGTAGCTCGTTGCCGTTTCACTTTTCGCTGGTTACATCGCTAACTGGAGAACCAATATCATCCTTTTGCACCCTGACACATGGAGTTTTTAGTAGTAATTGACTTCGACGAAGGGTGAGTTGGGCAAATGCATCCACAGACACTCAGTTGGTTTTCCTTCTGAGGTATTAGCTAATAGCTTGGCTTCTGTTGGTTGCGAGCTGAGGTTAATTGACATCCAAATTCCAAATAATGGCACCAGGTCTTAGTTTGGTATAGTTGCATATTTTTCATGTTGATGCCTAGTAAAGAAAAAATGCTTTTGTCTCCATGAAGTTTCTTTGAATCCTATGTTTCTCTTTTCAGCTTATATGTGCGGAATGAACTTGGAAAAAAGAAGTTTATACTTCCATCTCCTATAAAAGAATAATATATAGCAATGTACCTCCTAATCCTTTCTGTTTTCTTCCATGGTTCCACCCCTTCCTATAGAAAGAAAGAAAAAATTGTATTCATAGAAGATTGTTTGCCAGAAAGATTGTCTTTCGTCTGTAACGATTTCCATGATGATTCAGAATGTGGCCATATTTCACATTTAAAATAATTGCTATTGGTTCTTAGAGAAGAAACTCTGGTGGTATGGTGCCAATGTGACTTTCACCAATTTCACTAATTAGTGACCTGTCCCCTTATAAACCCTTCTCTTGCTTGCTTTCCTTTAGTTACGGCATCAATTTGTAATCTATGTATTTTTATGGATCCACACCAAATTAGTGAAAAACTCAAGATAATCTTTTGGTGCTGTTGCAAGTATAATGGTGAACCCAAGAGGCCATAGTGCAAGACTGATTGGTGGAACCTAGATTATTTTGGTGTTCTTTTTTTGGGTCGAGGGTGGGGAAGGTTCTGTCGTTGCATATTAATGAGTCTAATCTAACAAATAATATGAGAAGCTCTCTCCACTTGCCTTCTATCTAGAGCTTTGTCAAAGTCGCAGTTACTATTTCAAAATTGTTTACATCAAAATTCAAATTATGAAATGATTGTTCAGATGTATGCTCAATTCAAATTTTTGCGGTTCTCGTTTCAACTGCTCCTGTTGAAGAACGGTCCGAAAATACCATTGGTTTGGGTAACATAACTCAAATATGTGTTTGAAATCACTCATGCATGTACCTCTGTCCTTTTAAGACCCTTCAGAATTTGAAAGCCATTGGGCCCTTACTCATCAGAGTCAAGTTGGGTGAACCAATGGGGTTGGGTGGGGGAACCTATATCAGTAATTGTTTTTCCCATTCACATCTTAATATACTTGCAGCTTATTCTTTTTTTAAGTCTGAATATCTTTGTTGCTTATAGAACTGAGACAGAAGAGTTTACGCGTGCTTTTTGCAAACGTTTACATTTTTTTATCTGAAAATTGCAAACATTTACATGGTTATAAGAATGTTATCACCGATCATGGTAGATCTTGTTTAAAATGCAAACTAGTACCGAGGTTCCTGAGGTTCCTATTGTTCTATGTTAGTTCCTTCACGATCTTTAATAACCTTTCGTGATCACAGGTTGTGTGAAATATGTGGTGAGACTGCAAAAAATGTTTCGGACGTTGCTGATCATGGATTTATTGAAGAATGGAATGATACTAGATTCATGGGCAATGATGATACCTCATCCAGAAGATTTGGTGGATGCTGGCGTGGACAACCATTTTGTAACTTCTTAATGGCATGCCTGGTTATAGCGTTTGTTCTACCTTGGTTCTTTCGTGTAAATATGTTCTAGTGGAGGAAGCCAACACCACTCTTCTTGCCTATATGATGAGTGTATGTCCTTGAAGTTCATGGCATATTCTTTCTCAGAAGTGGTGGCAATGCATAACCATCATGACCAACTTCACATTTTTCAGGGTATGTTCCTTGAAATTTGTTGTAAAGAAACTTGCCAACTAGGCAAGTTACGACCAAATTGTTTCCTTATTGCAGCATTCGTGGCTTAGATATTTTATGAGGGAGAAAAGCAAAGAAGATATTTTACTTGTGGCATAGATGTTATATGTTAGACACACTAAATTATTATTCTCTGTAAAACAAGCAAACAGAAGAAGCCTCTCCTTGATTTCTCTTCTCTTTTTTACGTTCTTACACTCTTTTCTTTCTTTACTATCTGTTGGCTTGTCTGTTAATATAAAGTTCAAAGAATCCAATGTCATACGTCATCAGTGTGTTTATGTGCCATTCTTTTTGTTTGCAAGTATTCTAGCTTCTAATCCAAGTAACTTTGCCTGTCATCATTTTCTAAAGTTAATCAAAAGCAATATACTCGAACTCTTGCCTTAATTTTCAAGGTACATATGCTCATGATACATATTTATGACCAAGATAAATCCTTCATCAAAATTTTGTTTACTGACAGATCTAAGCAATGGATTAAATTAATATTACAAAAAGTAAAATGAAATCCTAGTAGTAGGTTAGGGTCAATTATATTGGGAAGATCATATAGATTTGTCACGGGTTTGATGACGTGCCAAGGGAGCTAAATAATGCATATACCACCTTTTAAATTGAAAAAGTGAAAATTGCAATATCTACAAATTATTGATGTATTAAAAACAAAGATTTGTGTGGCTTCAACATGAACAATGTGCGTGGTGGAAGTGAAAAATACTTGATTCCAGTGCAAGTGTACAAGTTGGTGAAAAGATAATACTGAATATCAGTACATATAATATATTAAGTAAAAACATTAGCAGGGATCCGTTGTAGTCTAGTTGGTTAGGATACTCGGCTCTCACCCGAGAGACCCGGGTTCAAGTCCCGGCAACGGAATCTTTTTTTGTGAAGTTTTATATATATATATATATATATATATATATTTTTTTTTTTTATCAGCTTTTGTATATTTACCGGTGTAGCTATAAATAACTGTATCAGTGTGGTTTGTTTGAAGGGGTGAGGAAGAGCAAAGCCAATTATGTCTAAAACTAGAAGCGTAGCACCGTTCAACGCTTATCCAACTTATCATAATCCCAGAAACAAGACGAACTATTCAAAATCTCCCAATTACTTCATCCTCTTCAGACAATCTTGGACATGTCTTCCACCACCCAATTTTGTCCTTTCTTGCAGTAGCAGTGTCGTTGTCTCTGCAACTTTGTCCAAGCCCACCTACAACGTAGCCATAGACAAGAATGCACAAATTCGCAAATTCTGCCAAACGGGTGATCTCAGAAAAGCCATGGAATTGCTCAAAATTTCACAAATGTCTGAACTTGAGCTGCAAACTTACTGTTCTGTGTTGCAGCTCTGTGCCGAGCTGAAGTCTTTGGAAGATGGAAAGAGGGTTCATTCCATTATCATCTCCAACGGCATGGAAATTGATGACATTTTGGGGGCAAAGCTAGTCTTCATGTATGTTCATTGTGATGATTTGGCCGCAGGGAGACAAATATTAGATGGGATTATCAATGATAAGATTTATCTCTGGAATTTTTTGATGTCTAAATATGCAAAGATTGGAAATTACGAGGAAGCTGTGAGTCTTATCAGGAAAATGCAGAAGTTGGGAATCAGAGGGGATCCTTTTACTTTTACTTGTATATTGAAGTGTTATACAGCATTGGCAAAGATAAGGGCGTGTAAAAGCGTTCACGGGTATGCTTTTAAACTAGGTTTTGGTTCTGATAATACAGTTATTAACTCTTTAATTGCAGCTTATTTTAAATGTCGTGATGTTGAGAGTGCACATAATATGTTTGATGAATTGAGTGAGCCAGATGTTGTTTCCTGGAATTCTATGATTAGTGGGTGTGTTTTAAATGGGCTTTCCTGAGATGGACTTGAGTTTTTCATTCAGATGCTGAATTTCGGGTTTGGTATGGAATTGGTCACCTTGGTTAACGTTCTTGTGGCTTGTGCAAACGTTGGCAAGCTTTCATTCGGTAGAGCTCTTCATACTTGCGGAGTGAAAACTGGCTATAGCGGGGATGTCGTGTTTGACAACACATTACTAGACATGTATTCTAAATGTGGCTATTTAAAAGGTGCAACTGATGTTTTTGCCAAGATGAGTAAAACTTCTGTTGTTTCTTGGACTTCAATGATATCTGCTTATGTACGGAAGGGTCTGTATGATGAAGCCATTATATTATTTGAAGAAATGCAAAGCAAAGGTCTTAAGCCAGATGTTTATACTGTCTCAAGTGTGGTTCATGCTTGTGCTTGTAGCAACTCGTTGGAGAAAGGAAGGAATATACACAATTTCATTAAAAAGAACAACATGGGATTGAATTTGCCTGTTTTCAATGCTCTCATGTATATGTATGCAAAATGTGGAGTCATGGAAGAAGCTCGTTTAATTTTCTCTCAAATTCCTGTCAAAGACATTGTCTCATGGAATACGATGATTGGAGGTTATTCACAAAACTCACTTCCCTATGAAGCTCTAGAATTGTTTGTGGACATGCAAAAACAATTGAAGCCTAATAGCATTACAGTGGCTTGTGTCCTTCCAGCTTGTGCAGGCTTAGCAGCTCTAGAGAAAGGTAGAGAGTTACATGGGCACATATTGAGAAAAGGGTACTTTTCAGATTTACAAGTTGCCTGTGCACTTGTTGATATGTACGTGAAGTGTGGGTTAGTAGTTCTTGCACAACAACTTTTTGATATGATTCCTAAAAAGGATATCATCTTGTGGACTGTTATGATTGCTGGCTATGGCATGCATGGGTTTGGAAAGGAGGCAGTTTCCACATTTGAAAAGATGAGGATAGCAGGTATTCAGCCTGAAGATTCCTGCTTCACTTCAATACTCTATGCCTGCAGTCACTCTGGATTACTGGAAGAGGGATGGAAATTCTTTAGTTCCATGAGAAGTGAATTCAACATTGAGCCTAAGTTAGAACACTATGCATGTATGGTGGATCTCCTTGTTCGCTCTGGAAATCTATCCAAGGCATACAAGTTCATTGAAACTATGCCAATTAAACCAGATGCTGCAATTTGGGGTGTCTTGCTTTCTGGATGCGGGATCCATCATGATGTGGAGCTAGCAGAAAAAGTAGCAGAGCATATTTTTGAGCTTGAGCCAGAGAACACAAAGTATTATGTTCTTCTAGCAAATGTCTATGCAGAGGCAGAAAAGTTGGAAGAAGTAAAAAAGTTACAAAGAAAGATAGGTAAGGGGGGATTTAAAAAGGATCAAGGTTGTAGTTGGATTGAGATTCAAGGAAAGTTTAACATCTTTGTTGCTGGGGATACTTCCCACCCTCAGGCCAAAAGGATAGACTCATTGCTGAGAAAATTGAGGATGAAGATGAATAGGGTAGACTACTCTAATAAGATGCGGTTTGCATTAATTAATGCCGATGATATGAATAAGGAAGTGCTTCTCTGTGGACACAGTGAGAAATTAGCCATGGCTTTTGGTGTACTAAATTTGCCTCCAGGGAAGACTGTTAGGGTAACCAAGAATCTCAGAGTATGTAAGGACTGTCATGATATGGGGAAGTTGATGTCCAAGACAACTGGGAGGGATATTGTGTTGCGAGATTCAAACCGGTTTCACCATTTCAAGGATGGTGTATGTTCTTGCCGAGGTTTCTGGTAAAACGTTGGAAAATTTCTATAAAAGAATTGTCAACGTATCCTTCTCTTCATGTGAATTGATAGCTGTATATTTTGCAATCAGAGTTCTCTTACTGATGTGAGACTCGTTGCAGATTAGGATACAAGGTCATTGGCAAAATGTAGGTAGAAGTGATAGTGATACTTGTGTAGAATCAGTGGTTGAGACTACGATTTTTTTAGTTTATACGATAATGCCAGAGGCAATTTTATTTCCTTAGCCAGAAAGGATGTTATTCATGGATGACTTATCTAAAGATCTATATTTGGATTGCAATAGCCTCGCGGTCGATATCTATAATTAGGGGTCAGATGTAACATATTTTTCTGAGATAGATTATTGGCACTGTGACATATTTATGATTTGTGCGAGTGATCTCATTTTGCTTTTAGATTCCAACTTTCTTTTTCTGAACTGATAATGTTGACCAATCTCGACTCGTGCGAAGGGAATCAAAATCAGAACGACAATAAAAATGCTGAGGAAATGAGAAATTCAGTGCTGTGTCCTCTTTTTTGAAGTACGGGTATAGTTGCATAAGGATGTCACGCCATACTGAATGGGTGACGTGTTTTTGAGGTATTCTAGATTCAAATTGCTCTCCATTACGCATCTGATATAACTGAAACATTACACATTCAAATAATCATAGTCAATCTGTTTTGTTTGTTCCCCTTTAAAATATTGTGAATCAAATTACTTTACTCCTCAAAAGTCACGAATCTATACTCCTTCAAAGCCATTTTTATGGATTAAAATATTAATGGACTGCATCATGCATAAAATCCTTTATATTTCTATATAGTCGCAAATAAAAAAATTCATACACATAAATTAAAAGCAAAAAAATCTATAGTTCAAACCTTGATAAAATATAAATACATTTAACAAATCTATTACCTTGTCAATTTTTTGCCTCGGGAGTTACAAGTTCCAACTTTACACGATAGCCTGCATCAAGAGATATCAGTATTCAAATATGGATTTCACCAAAGCTTAACCCTTTAAAAATTTCCTTATGTATAAGCCATTTTTGTTCTTCCTTTCCCGTCAAGCGTTTTTGAACTGCAAACACATTGACCATTTAGGCTTCACTGCAATAATTTCCTTGGAATACTTTCTTTGGTACTGACAGATGCATAGGCCTGCAGGGAGAGAGTTATGGTAAACTGCTATGTGCAAAACTTCCTTCATTTACGAGCCTTGCACATGCAACTGTCAATGCACCCTATCCAAGAACACTGTTTTTTTGGTTTCAGGGAAAGAATATCTGTAGCAGTAATGAATCTTAATTGATAAAAGCTGCATCCACAAACCCAGAAATGCCAATTAAGGTAGTCATAAAAAAATGCAGAACCTGGGACAATTAAGTAGTCATGCATTTGTTTCACTTCTCATCTTGTCTTTCAGTTGGCTTTCCGTTAATTTGGTCTGTTGTGTGTTGTTTTATTGCTATTTTCTAAATTTTACAAATTTTCTCGTTTAAACATTTAATGGACAAACAAACAAGAGCTTAATAGATAGACTCCACGAGCAGGTGATTTTTTTAGAACTAGATAATAGTTTTCTAAAACTTAAGAATCAAACGAAAGAAAATATAATATACGCTAAAGAATGAAAAATAAAAAACTTATATATATTTAGGAAGAGGTGCGTATTAGGTGAATATTAAATAAGAAACAAATGATGTTTCTAAAAAGCACTAATAAGTTGTAGTGGCCTTTTGCTGTTTGAGCATGCTAATTAATTATAACTCTTAATTATGTTAAGGAAATTATTATTGAGTTTTAATTTTTTATTAGTGTTGTATTGATTTATTTTTTTTCATTTATGTATTTATTTAGCTTTTTTATAATATGTATTTTTTTTGTGCAATGTATTTTTATTATAGATTTGGTACGTTCCTTTCATGTTTTCTGTTCTTTCTTTTTTATTTTATTTTTGGTTTAATTGCTTCCTTTGTCCCCAGTTTGGTTGAATTGTGTCAAATTCATCCTCATTTTTAAAAAAGTTTCATTGTCGTCCTCACGTGGTGTAAAAGTTTCATTGTCGTCCTCACGTGGTGTAAAAGTGTCAATTGAATCCAAATGTAGAAAAAATTTGTGTCAAAGTAGTCATTTTTCCTATATCTCTGTGTCTTCCTTTCATACAATCAAGTACAGATATTCATTTTACCTTATCCAATTTAAGGCTTTTCATAGCTCCAGAGAAGTGACATATGAAAGGAAGACACAAATATATAGGAAAAATGACTACTTTGACACAAATTTTTTCTATGTTTGGATTCAATTGACACTTTTATACCACGTGAGGACGACAATGAAACTTTTTTAAAAATGAGGATGAATTTGACACAATTCAACCAAACTGGGGACAAAGGAAGCAATTAAACCTTTATTTTTTTAATAAAACTATCATGACAGCAACATAAACTTATTTGGAAAATAAACAATACTGTTTAGAAATAAAATATTTATAAGCTTCTTTGAATGAACAACTAGACACCAAATAATTGACACTTATAACTTATATCTCATTATATCACTATATACTTTTTTTTTTCCTTTTTCTTTTTAACATGTAAAATAATTTTTTGGTATCTAAATTTTTCTAAAATGAGTCTGGATGAAAATAAGCTATTAACATAGGTCATATTTGTAACATTTCAATTTTTGTAGTGTATAAAATATATTACATTTTTAATCAAACAAAACCGTTGGCTTAAGAAATATATTGCTATTATAGTTATTCAAAATAATATATAATAACAATATATATATATATATATATATATATATATATATATTTTGTTAGTAATATTTTAAATATTATGGATTTTCGGTTTTTATTTTTAAAGAACATAACGTGGTATATTAAGCCATAAGTTTTTATTTTGTTTCAATTGCATGCAGGTTATGGAGCAGTTACTGATTTTTGTTTCAATGACAATAACAAACCCATTCATTTTTTTAACCCTGTGATGGCCAAACTTTACAAAGGGAATGAGATACTATCAATTTTGATCACTAAGCCTACTCTTCTCTTCGGATAAACACATCATCGAGTTTTGAGTGAGTGAAAGTTTAGAAAAACAAAGTTGTGTTCGAATTTTTAAAGCTGCAATGGCAGAAGATACGCATTTTATTCTGGTTTTTTGCTTCTGCTGTGTTGATATGGATGTATTATTATAATGTTTATATAACATGTTCATTATAATGTTTATATAGCATGTTTGGGTCAGTTTTTACACTCTTAATTTATCATTTAACTTGGCTTTGATACCAAATGATAAATTAACCGTGTAAAAACATGTTATATGAATATTATAATAGCACACCCAGATCAACACCGCAGAAGCAAAAAAGAAAACGAATAAAATACGTACCTCCTACCATTACAGCTTTAAAAATCCGAAAACAACTTTGTTTTTCTAAACCTTTACTCACTCAAAACTCAATGATGTGTTTATCTGAAGAGAGGAGTAGCCTTAGTGATCAAAACTAAAAGTATCTCATTCACTTTATAAAGTCTGGCCATCACAAGGATAAAAAAATGAATGAGTTTGTTACTGTCATTGAAACATAAATCAATAACTACTCCATAACCTCCATGTAGTTGAAACAAAATAAAAACTTAACGTCTTAATAGACCACATTATATTCCTTAAAAATAGGAACCGAAAATGACATAATATTAAATATATTGCTAACATATATACATTGTCCTATACTACAAGAAGATATATTACACTACACCAAAAGTGTAATATAGGCATTACAAAACAAATAGGGAACGACTCTAAGCTTCAGTTCCGCCACCGACTAGCTCATGCTCACTAGAGACACCCCTAACCTCGTACCATTAATGTAATTATTACAAAAAATAATACAAACACACACAAATAGACACAAAGACAAAATGGTAAGTTAAAGTACCAAAAGAATATTCATACTTTTTAAAACAATATTATCACATGTTAACGTTGTAATAGGTCTCATGTAAAATTTTTTAATATAGTCCCAATATTTTTTATTTTATCTCAATTGAGTTCTAATTATTTTTTTTTAAACTAGAATAATTTTCATCTCTTCCCATATTCAAATCAAATTTAATTTTTATATAAATGTTATAATGATATTTTTATTAATATTTTTAACCATTTCAAGTTTATTTAAAATCGTATTTTACATTAAAACTTTATTTAAAATTCGTTTTAAGCTTTTATATATTAATAATTTCACACTACCTTTGGCACGTGGCATTCAACTCTATTTAACTTTTATATAAATGTTATAATGATATTATTATTAAAATTGATACTTTATTAAATATTTTTTTAAAAAATAAGTTTATTTAAATTTATATTTTACATTAAACTTCATTTAAGTTTTGTTTTAAAATTTTAAATATATTTATTTTAAATTGTTATAAAATTATTTTAAAAATCTACATTTGAATTTATAAAAATATTATTTTTAAACTAACTCTATTATTTGTATAGAAATTATTAATATATAAATATTTTAAACAAAATTTAAATAAAATTTAAGATAAAATATAAATTTAAATAGACATGTTAAAAATATTTAATAAAATATCACTTTTAATAAAAATATCATTATAACATTTATATAAAAATTAAATTTATCTTAATTTAAAAAGGATAAAATTATTTTAATTTAAAAAAATTAAAACTATATTAAAACAAAATAACAAATACATATATATACTAACTTTAAATTTTCACCTAATATTTATTCCAAAAATGACACTAACAAATGACATTTAAATTAATATAGTTAGTATCGAAAAAAATCAAATTACATCATATTTTAAAAATAAAATTTAATTACAATATATTTTAGAAAGTAAAAATTCAATTAAGATCAACAAATTATATATTTAATTGAGATTTTCAAATAAATAGAATATTCACTTGAAGACTTAAATTAGAGATGATAACGGATCGAGTCGGACATGGA